GAAGGGAAGAGGAAGGTTGGTGAGGGAAAGAGAAGCCGACAGCCATAGCTGACCGAAGGTTGACCGGGAGAGTTGACCGGAGGTGTTGACCGGCATTGACCGGAGTTGACCGGGGGTTGACCGGGAGTTGACCGCAGCGTTGACCGGCGTTGACCAAGGCATTGACCAAGACTTTGACCAAGCTGGAGCCGGTAAAATCTCGCCAAGCCTTAGCCTATCCCTCGCCCTATGGATGTGCACACACCCTGTGGTACTTGCTGAGTCCAGTCTGTCTGTCTCTTCTTTCTGCATCGAGTCTCTTCTGTCTAGGTGATAGTACTCTGTGGATGAAGGATAGGGCCTTGTTGACCAAACCCACATGGGCTGAGTAGGGCTAAAGACTGTGTCTGCCGACTCGACTGTCTCGGAGGCCTAACCCTCCCAAGGACCGGTACTGACCGACGGGCTGCTCGGTGTGGCACGGTAGGCCCAAAATCCGAGCTGTGGGCTGCACAATGGGCCATCTAAGTGTTGAGAGACCTGCTGATCGCGTCGTCCTGTCTGCGACGATAAATAATTCCTGAGGAGTTACGGGGGATCTCCTTAAATGCCTCCTGATCAGCAACAGGTCTAGTAGTGACAGCAATATTGTAGGTCTAGGCTAGAGACCCTAGTTGGCAGGATCCCTGTCCAGATTCTGTGAGTCTTTAGATTGAGTCAATAGGTTTGTCAGTCAGGGGTTAGAGTCTACGTGGTGAGGTTTGGAAACGTAATCCGGTTGTGCACTTGTCACCATGGTTGAGACCCGTAGTGGGACGAGCACTAGCCCCTACACCCAGGAGCAACAGGAAAAGATGGCCGCCTTAGTGAGAGAGAACAAAGAGAGGAAGGATCTTCTGAAGCAGGCGAAGCTGAAAGCTATCGCAGAGGAGCAGGTGACAAAGATGAAGAAACTGGAGGAGGAGATGAAGAGAGTTCAGCAGGAGGAGGAAGAGAGAAGAAAGGCTGCCGAAGAGGAAGCAGCAGCAGAAGAAGAAAAAGAGAGAAAATGTATGGAAAGCAGAGAGGAGAGTAGTGGCACGAAGAAGGATGAAGACGCAGAGATGGAGAAGAAGATTAGCGAGTGGATAGCTAACTTATCGTTGGGGGAAGATGAGGAGGCGGAGTTCTACATGCCCCAGGACGAGAGGGATGCGTTAGCCTAGGAGGAAGCAGCGATGGAGGACCCCCTGGAAAGACAAGAAAGAGAGGAGGAGAAAAAGTTGGAGTGGAAATTGAGAATGGAGAGGGAAAAGAAGAGAAGGAGGGATGAAGTTACTAGGTTGACCGCAGAGGTGGCGAAGGTGAAAGATTGTAGGCAGGAGGTGCAGGCTTAGGCAGACGCCTCGGCCAAAATGGATAAGGTGTTGGGGTACTTGGAGGTCTTGAGCGCAGCTTGGATGGAGGAACGCTAGGCCAATAGAGCTCAAGAGGTAACCCTGAAGGCCATGCGGTCCGGTTTTCGGGATTTTGCACGCGAGATGGTTACCCACGTTGGAGGGAAAGTCAGGCGGTTGAGAGACAACGTAGGGAAGTTTTGTGAGGGTGCCATTGAGGGCGCCAAAGTAGTAGCCGCTGCTGAGAGCGAGGCCAGACCCCGCAAGGAACCAGTCAAACTCAAGTTTCTCGATGCCTATGGCGGGAAATATGATGAGAACTTCGATAACTAGGAGGCTAGCGTAAACAGTTACGTTTACTTACAACAAATCGTACAGGACGATCAGGTCCTGGTTGCCTTCCAGGCCCTCAAGGACGAAGCGGCTAGCTTTGCTAGGTCCCTCTTGCGCGTGGCTGGTTGTGAAAACAACGTGGTCGTCTATTCCAAGGTTACCCCCCTCCCTCAATTCTTCAAGCTCCTTAGGGAGCGATTCACTCATCTTCGCAGAGGCGTTAGAGCCTCTGACAAGCTCCAAACCATCCACTCATGACAGTGGAGGAGTGCCAAGGCACTCAAGGCCGTGATGGACGACCTGGTGGCCGTCCCGGACCATGGGGTGACTGAGTCCCAGTTGGTCCAATTATTTTATCGTGCCATGCCAGAGCCCCTACGTGAGTCCCAACAGCCCACCATGATGTACGATGCGCTCAGTAGAGAGGTGGTGCTGTTCGAGGCCAAGTCCATGCCAATTTCCACTTTCCGGCATAAGGACTTAGACAAGGGCAAAAAGTGGAAAGGTCGTACCATCTATGGCCAAGTCAGGGCCAAGGATCACATGATCCTTACCTTAGAGGAGGGTGGTACAGATGAGGTCCCATATAGTCAGATCGAGTGGGGCCTTGAGGAGGAGGACAGTAGCGTGGGGCAGGGAAGGTCCTATGCAGCTGTCGCGGCTGGAGGGAGGCCGCAAAGTAGAGGAGGCCAGGGCCAAAGAGGCCAGGCCATGGGACGTCGAGGACCGGGCTCAGAGGGGGTTGGCGGACAAGGGAACCGCCAAGTGGGAGGTAGGGGTCAAGGTGCCCCGCCAAATCGTCAAGGTTCTTGTCGGTCCCCACAGCGACGAGGTGGAAGGTCACCTCAAGGAGGATGGCACCCAGGCTTGCCACAGGGCAGGCCCTGGGAAGACTTGGGCTTGGACCAGCACGTATGGCAGGAACGCGTGAACTTGGGTCAGTGTGTGTTTTGTGGTGACCCGGCCAACGTAATTAAATTTTGTCCTCAGTACAGACAAGCCCGATGGGCTGCTCAACAGTCAAAAGGCAGCCACCAGTAGGGGTCACAACTGCCCCTACTTCAAGGCAATGTGGGGAAGCGAGCGCGCGCTAACAGGAAACTCCCAAGCCACATGAGCCTATGGCAGAGGTTCCAGGCCCGTGCCTAGCTAGTTGTCCAGAGACTGCTTGTGTTAGGGTCTCTCTAGCCACGTCCCTCACAGGTGTGGCAGAAGAACTGAAGGAGAGGATGCCAGCCTGGGCCAAAATGAAGCAAGAGAGTAAGGGACAACTGATTTTGGTAGATGTAGAAGTGTTTAGAAGTAGAGTAGGGGCTCTTATAGACTCAGGGGCCACCCGCAGTTACATTAGTCGTAGGGCGCTGAAGAAGCTGAGGCTAGGATTAAAAGTCCAGAAGTTGACAGACCCCATAGTCAGTGTCCTCGCAGACAACCGCACGATGCGAGTTTAGGACTACGTAGAGGGAGTCCAGGCGTACTTTCGCCTAGAGAAGGATGGGAAGGTGGAGAAAGTTCTCCATTCCCTGACTCTCCTCGTTCAGGACGACCTTCCTTTTGATATAGTATTAGGAATGGATTGGGGAGAGGCAGCAGGGGCCACACTCCACTTAAGAGAGCATGAGTGTAGGCTCCCTAGTCCGTCAGGCGAGGTTAAGACTGCCCACCTGTTTCATGTGTCAGGTGTAGATAACACCTTGGCACATTGCTGTCTCAGTGCTCCCGCGTTCGCGCGACTAGTGAGAAAGGAGCAGTTAGAGGATCAGGTCTTCGTAGTGTATGTGAGGCCTGTCACTGAGGCTAAGGAAGGAGATAGTTCCACAGACCCAACCATTGCCAAGCTGTTGGAGGAATTTAAAGATTTGACTGAGTCGCCGATAGGAGTAGTGCCGCGACCCATCCTGCACAGGATAGAGATAGAGCCTGGCAGTAGAACTCCTAAGGGAGCGGTCTACGAAATGTCCCCTAGAGAGTTAGAGGAGCTACGCAAGCAGTTAGACGAGCTCTTCGAGAAAGGTTGGATCAGGCCCAGTTCATCTCCTTTTGGAGCACCAGTCCTGTTTGTCCCCAAGAAGGAAGGAGAGCTCCGTATGTGTATAGACTATAGGAGTTTGAATGCTATTACTGTGAAGAATGCTGGGTTGTAAGTATTTCTCTACGATAAATTTAAAGTCGGGGTATCATCAGATAGAGGTCCATCCTGATGACTAGTACAAGGCTGCGTTTCGGACTAGATATGGGCACCATGAGTTCATAGTGATGCCCTTTGGAATGACCAACGCGCCAGCCACCTTTCAACTTTGTATGAATGATTTGTTCAGACCGTGGTTAGATAAGTTCGTAGTAGTTTATCTAGATGATATATTAGTTTTCAGCAGGACCCTCCAAGAGCATCAGGGTCATTTGAGGCAAGTCTTGGAGAAGCTGAGAGAAGCTAACTTCAAGATTAATGCAAAGAAGTGCGAATGGGCCAAGACACAGGTTTTGTACTTGGGCCACGTATTAGACGGAGATGGCATTAAGCCAGAGGACAGTAAGATAGTGACGATTAGAGACTGGCCGATGCCCCGCACATTGACAGAATTGCGGTCGTTCGTAGGCCTAGCTAACTACTATCGAAAGTTCGTGAGGAACTTCTCTACTATCGCCGCTCCCTTGCGCAGGTTGCTTAAGAAAGAGGCAATCGGCAATGGGACAAAGATTGTACGTCTGCGCTGAAGAGACTGAAGCGCGCGTTAATAGAATACCCTGTCCTCAAAGTAGCTGATCCGTCTTTGCCATTTGTCATCACCACGGACGCGAGTCAGTATGGTATAGGCGCCGTGTTGCAGCAAGACGACGACAATGGCTACAGACCTGTAGAGTTCATGTCAGCGAGGATGCCCTGAGAGAAGGTAGCTACCTCGACGTACGAGAGAGAACTCTATGCTCTCAGGCAGGCTTTAGAGCACTGGAAGCATTATCTGCTCGGGAGGCACTTCAAAGCATATTCTGACCATGAGACGCTTAGATGGTTAAAGACCTAGGCCAGGATGACACCTAAGTTAACTAGGTGGGCCGCTGAGATAGACCAATATGACTTTGAGCTCAAACCGGTCAAAGGCAAGTACAATGTAGTTGCGGATGCTCTGAGTAGGAGATCAGACTACTTTGGAGCCATAGTGAACTATCTGGACAAAGGAAAGGACCTGCAAGAGAGTCTGACAGGCGTATGCGCAGGATCCTATCTATAGTGATCTCCTCAAGAGAGTTAAGGAGGCCCCAAAGACCGAACCAGACTACCGCACTACTGAGGGACTATTGTTTGAGAAGACTAATGTAGTAAACCGCCTGTGCATCCCCAACAGTGAGGAGATCCGTAGTCTAATCCTAGGGGAATGCCATGACACAGAGGGACACTTCGGTTGGCAAAAGACCTTAGCCAATCTGATGCGTGCATATACCTGGCCAGGGATGAAAGCTGACTGTATAGAGTATGTTCGCAGTTGCAAAGTTTGCCAGAGAAACAAGACCACTACGCGCGCCCCTCTAGGTCTTCTTAGACCCTTGCCTATTCCAGACTAGTCGGGAGACTTAGTCTCCATTGATTTTATGGATGCCGGTGTCAAAAGTAGACACGGCAAGATCCAAGTCATGGTCATAGTTGACAAATTTAGTAAATATGCAGTTTTTGTTCCTTTGCCTGCAGAGGCACATACGGAGTTAGTCATTCAGAAGTTTTTTTATCATTGGATTAGTGATCACGGGGTTCCGCTGTCTATAGTTAGTGATAGAGACACCAGATTCACGAGTCAGAACTGGCAGGAACTCATGAGAGTCTATGGATCAAAGTTGTTGATGTCATCTGGCCGGCATCTAGAGACTAACGGTCAGACAGAACAGATGAATAAGATCCTGCAGCAAGTTCTGCGTATGTATATTAGACTCATCTGGCCGGCATCCAGAGACTAAC